TGACAAACGAGCACACAGTCCACCTGATGGTAAGTGTGGTATCTGCGATTAATGTATTGAACATCGAATAATAATTATATCTTAATATAATTATTCCTCCATAACTGCAGTACGATTATGCAACACTGAACTGGTGGGAATCCTATTTCAGTGAGAATCACTCTGAAACTGCGTCATGTTATTTGTTATGACAACGTTATTAAAATTTTATTAAGTCATCAATAAAAAATGAGCTTAAAATCTATACCGTAAGAACCACATTTGATTCGCCGGCGACAAGCTAAAGAAGAAGAAGAATTTTCAAATATTGAATTGTAAATTAAATGAAACTAAATTATAAGTACTTACTTGTTAATTTATATTCGTTGAATAAGTTTTTTTAATTTATGATATGAAATCGAAGCAATTTAATGCCATATTATTTATATTTTTAGGTAATCATACACCGTTTTCATCGTATTTACAATACATATTATCATACAGTAAGGTAAATAGAGATTACACAATTATAATAATAATCGCATTTTATAGCACTGAGTTTTTTGTCTTACAGTAACTCTATGCTATTAATTAATTCCAAATTATATGGTTGGCAACTACTTGTATCAGTGATACACGTTGGTTGGTCTATTTGTAGTTTTTTCGTGATGGATGTTGGAAGAAGACTTATTAGTTCATAACGGAGTGTTACTGTTTAGACAGCTTTTCGACAAGCAGCGCAAAAGGGCCACTTTCATTCAGATCTTGAAATAGTATCATTATTAAAATGTATGCACTCTGAATGGTAATTATGCGAATATTGTGTGCATTTTATTCGTTTTTGCGTAACGTTTATATTTACTTTGCATGCTCAAACCTTCCGCCCATTTTACTAGTGATTAAAGCGTAAAATGCAGAGAATGTAATACAAATTATAGAGATAAATAGTGTGTTAACTCCAATTTACAGTGTAGGGGACTGGATCCTTCGTCTATTTAAGTATTAATTGTTGTGTACATTGTTAGGCCGTTCGACCAACACGCCTTTAACTGATACAATGAAATTTTTGATCTCGTTGCACGATTTGCAATAGTCCTTCAAGTATTCTTAAAGGGTAAGCTAAAATGATTTTGTTAATTTTCCTTAACTTAGACCACTTTTATCAGAATTAAGCACCAATGTACCTTGAAAAACTATTATAGTTTCACAACCATTGCACTACACCACTAAATAACGCTGTTTAAAACGTTTTACTATTTAATTTGATCGGAACACTTTTTAAAATGTCCATCCGCTTAATGTCGGTACTTACGTCTTGTATTATAAAGCAAAATATCTAGTTGTTAATAAATAATTTACGAATTGTATTTTCCAAAAATGTTTTTTTTTATAGGATAAGAGTGACAAACGAGCACACAGTCCACCTGATGGTAAGTGGTTGCTGCGACCCATAGACATCTACATCTACATCTATCCTCTATTACAAATCAAAATGTAGAAGCGTTGTCACCCGTGAGGACTAAGATGGAATGCCTCATTTCCAGTAAAAAGGGCCTCCGGCCACCTGCACTCACCAAGCGAAACGCAGAGGTAAATCTCTACTTCACGCTGGTTTTCTATGTTGTTTAATGTCAAATAATTATATTATTTTATATAATTTCCTTACAAGCAACTATGAATTCATGGTGTAATCGTACTCATACAATGCTTGTCACACCTAAATATCTGCTCTCTATATATATGTAACAGCCACATTATTAAGTAGCGAGTGGCATGCGGAATAAGTCTGTCCTTTAATGGGGTCTGCCTCATATACGAGTACCCGTTTGTTTGCCGCTCAATTTATTGTATCGACCGCAAATAATAAAGAGATCGTGCTTAATTCTGCGATGAACTATCAAGGATGTTTATTAATATGTTATGAATATATACACTTACTGTAATCCATCAAAGTAAATGCTACTTTTTTAAATTATTCCTTCTAATTGAATATTGAATACGATTGTATTGGAGACCATTTTTATGACTTCTTACTACTAAAGTTAACAATTTAATTGTACGAGATAGGCCTACTGCTTTGAGTTAATGAATTGTTCTGCTAATTCAATAACATAATAATAAAATAAATTATAATTCAATAGTAAATTATACAGGGTTACTTTTCAAAGAGTAGCCAAATTTTAAACTTAAGTTCAAATATATAAATAATAATATATCGTTATTGTAATTTTTGAAAATACGAGTAAATACGACTTATACTTTTATTTGAAATTGTCCCAAATTGATGTGATGTATGGACAACAACGTTTTTGTGTATTATTTTAAAGTTTAAATTTCTACGTGGTAGAGCCATGCTGCAGCTATATTATGGTTGTAGCACAAATGGGTCGGCTCGACCGGGGAAGCAGCACGCTCTCACAGAAAACCAGCGTAAAATAGCAGCTTAACGCTGCTGTGTTTCGTATGGTGAGTGTAGAGAACCGGAGACCCTTTTTACTGGCAAAGAGGCATTCCATCTTAGTCCTCACGGGTGACAACGCATCTGCATCTTGAATCTTTATTGAGGATAGATGTAGATGTCTATGGGTCACAGTAACCACTTATCATCAGGTGGGCTGTGTGCTCGTTTGTCACCCGATGCTATAAAAAAAAAATTTATGAATGGAATATAACTTACTAAGATAAACAAATACTTTGATTTACATTACGAACGTAAAGGAGAATGGGATTTTTGGGCTTGAAGTTAACTAATTGGTTTATACTTTAAAATATTGACCATATTTTTCTAAAGTAAAATATAAAAAATTTGCTCTTTTTACAATCTATAATTCGAAAAAATCGATTAAAGTGTATTCTTGAGGGCAATAAATCGATTGAAATTCTCGTTTCTGAACGTTATCTTCCAATAGAGGACTTCTCATTATGAAACTTGACAGTTCAAACTTCAAATTTACACAAAGTTTACGATTTGAAACGAGCTCAATATAATTGATTCTCGATTTAATTGAGCATTTTAATATCTGTTTTCGATTATTTTTCTGTGTTAACTAGGAAGATAAAAATGATTGCGTACATATCTAAAAATAATAATAAAAATTACAAAATATCAATATTCCAACAAGTAACAGTTACAACAACAATTCAAGTAATCGATCTCAGATCAATATCCCTAATATTCACTTCACTTAGTTGTTGTTGTTTTAACTTTTGTTAATTGTTTTACCATTTCGTTTCTTTATTATCTGCAGCATTTTAGTGATTTTATACTGATCCTGCTTTTGTATTTTTAAGTAATTATAGTAAAAAATTGCCTGTTACAGTGTAATAACAGTGAAAAATCACCTCTTACAGTGTAGGTAATAGATAATCAAACTTTTACTTATTCTACAATAACTCAACTCCTAGATTGACAAATCTTGCCAGATTTTCAGCTATGAATTGTTTATATATAGGCTTTCAAATGATCTACTTTCATCTTGTTAACACTTGGGCCCAAGAATGCATGGAGACTTCTCCTTCTCCTTTGCTGGGTTTTACAGTCAAAAGTTATTTGTCATAATATTCATTACGTTAATATTTTCAAGTCTTGGTACTCTTTTGTTTATCGACCAAATCGGCGATACATTAAAAATGGGCCAGATTAGGAGTACCCTTAACCGACGAGCGTGTATGCGTAGATATATATCCATATATCTACGCATACACGCTCGTAAAAGAGGCGAAAGAGGTGTGTAAGGATCGCGCCAAATGGAAGTCCGTAGTCTCTGCCTACCTCTCTGGGTGACAAGCGTGAGTGTTTATGTATGTATGTATATAATATTAAAATGTATATTTCTTTTGGAGTTGCAGTTTGGAGATAGATAATTATTAAATACTTTTAATTTATATTGGAGTTCATATATATATTTTTTTCTATCTTGTATCACTATTTATGCATGTATTTTAAATGTTGTTCTATGACATAAAAGAACATATGGAGTTATAGGTTTTTATTTACTTCTTCTACTGATGTACATAACGGAGTTCTATTTTCCAAACTGAATTTTATTGCTAATCTTAACTATATATCCTTGTATAAAGATTTTTTTTATAGTCTGTGAGTGTGTTATTGAACATATTATATTATGATAGTTTAGTATTCAATGTTTATTGATAACCAGAATGAAAGTTATATTCAATTTAATCGCACAATTATTGCTTACGTGACGTGACGTCATTATATGATATACACTGGCAAAGTGGATTTAATATCATACCAAATTCACGATTATTAATTTAAATTTCTTGATTTAAATAATATGAACACAATTTATGATCGATTAATATAATTAAATTAAATAACTAATTCATTTAGCTATGGTAGTTTAGTGGCTAAGCTTTTTTAGCGTACAATTTAAAATGCTTTTCATCTACTCATATCAAAATATTTATATTACTTTATTATAATAAAACTGTTTAAATATTTAGCTGATAAAAATTTTTACGGGGGGTGGGCGTTATAGAAACTATCACTTAACTCTCCGTGCTATGTTGCAAGAGGCAGCTATTGAAAAGGCTAGAAAAATCTCTCCTTTATGACATTAGATGTGAAAAAATATCCAGACTGGCTCCAGGGAGCAACTTCAAAGATGGCCAGTTTCTAAATAGCATGCTAGTTAACTCAAATAATTCCTATTAAACGAAGAAGAGTTTCTTATAAGAAGAGTGTGTTTTACATTTGTATTTTCAACCTTTTAATCTTAAAAATATTGTTAGTATATGTTAGCCCATTCTTTCGATTGTAATATTTTATAAATATGTAAAAAACAAAAGAATAATAAAACAAACTATGTGACTTATTATTTTTTTATTTCGATACCAAACTTGTGTTTTCCAACTCAGATGCGAGCTCTATCCTGCTCCAATCTTTCGTTCCAAATGTTCTTAACACTATTAAATTAAATTAAATTTAGAAGCGGATGTTGACTGTTGCGTGATCGGTTCAAATGGTATGACCGAGTAGAATAAATGGTGCTGGGCGTTTACCACCCGTGGGCAAAAGCAGGTGCTGCGATGATGGGAGCGTGAGCAGCGACGATTGGCGCATGCGCAGCTACTACAGCTGGAGAAGCAATCTGGAAAAAGATGGTTGAAATGCATTGCTTTAATATTAATTTACAATTCAAAGTCATGATTTTTTTTTATAGAATTAAGCACACAGTCCACCTGATTGTTAGTAAATACTGTGGTCTATAGACATCTATATTTACCCTCGACTAAGATCCAAAATGCAGATGCATTGTCAACCCTGAGGACTAAATTGGAATGCCTTGTATTCGGTAAAAAGGTTCTCCGGTTTACACATACCTACTCACCATACGAAACAAAACAGCATTAAGTTTATATCACGCTGGTATTCCGTAAGAGCGTGGTCCCTCCCCGGTCGAGTCGACCCATTCGTGCTACAACCATAAAATAGCTGGAGTATGGCTCTACCACGTCGATTCACATTCTTGTACAAATCCCCTGTGTCATTTGTTAAAAAAGTTACAGTATTCATATGTCTCACAGATGGACACAAGCCTACTGTTATTTACAGTTACAGCCTATTAAAGTCCACTGCTGAACACAGGCCTCCCCCATAAATCGTCTCATAGGGGGGATATTTACCATAGATTCCACGTTTGGCAAGCAGATTGGAAATCGCAGTTTTTTTATTTTTAGTCATTATTAGGAAGATGTTGCTGCCCATCTACTAATTTTTCTCCCTCAGTCGCCTTTTACGACACCCATGGGATGATATGGGGACGATATTTTTACACCGCCACTACACGGTCAACTGTTGTTTATGAGTAAATTAAAACCGGGTGCCTAGCTCCTGAGTTGTAATCCCGACACATTTTACTCATCTAATATGTAAAAATTTATTTTTGTATGTATTTTTGTTATTTTTGTTTGTATTTTATGCGCTGCCATAATACCATTCATCAGATTACGCTAAAACTTTGTCAATTTACTGCTTGCACTTGCGCGAAGGTTATAGGCACAGTACAATTACGAGTAAATTACAGTAGGTGGCGCGAGTATCGTACCGACATATTTATTTGAAAGTAATAATAATATGTGATTTAATTTCAAAAAATGTATTATCATTCCTAATTAAACATCTCTTCTCTTCCAATTTGAAAACTCCTATATATTTCCACAATTTGTTTTCTGCGACAGCGACGAGCCAGGTATCAGCTAGTTATTTAATAATAATACGTTGTTTTATGTTGGAATGTTATATTATAGATATCATATAAAATGTTAAAACTTCAAACTATATTAAGCCAGTGCTTGATTACTACGTCACCTTGATGGTAAGTGGTAAAGTAGGTGGATGTTCGAAGATAGTGAACTACACTAATTTAGCTTAATAAGACCATTAACTCATGATTGATTTGCGTTTTATTTCAACCGTAAAGACGAAATGAAATTTTTGTTCACGTCTACGTCACTTTCATTTATCCAAATATTTATATCTGCTTACCCTGACGGAGTTAGAATAAGAGGTGGCAACAGGAACAGCTGTTTTGACCACTCCGGTGCTAATTAAGGGAGCTCCTACAATACCGTGGCCCCATGGAGCAGCCCAAGGTGCTGCAGCAACGGGAGCACCATAAAGGCCAGGGGCAGCAGCAGCTACGGCCAAGAAGGCAGCGAATACAACCTGTGCAAAAAATGCAAATAAATAAGTAAAAGCATTGGCAGTTTAAATATGTTTTTATTTTAAAATACAAGAGGAAATTGCTTTATAGGTAATTCGCTATCCTCATGGAATATTACTTTGGCAAATAATTGTACATTTATAATATCCTCCAGATCGAATTTTGGTCACGGCCGCCAGTCTCTAAGGAGAGTAGCCATCAGACGGCTCCGTGGCGCAGTGGCTTAGCAATCAGTTGTTGCGCTGGGGGCCGCGGGTTCGAATCCCGCACGGAACAAGTATTTGTATGGCCTACAAATAATTGTTCCGGGTCTGGATGGTTGTCCTTGTGTAATTTATGTTTGTAAACTGCCTCCACGACACAGGAGAAAATCCTAGTGTGGGGGTAAGGTTTTAAAAAAAAAAAGAAGATATCTACGCAGGACAGGATTATAGTGCCCAAGTATGGGCACTATACTATAGTACACAGGTGCGCTCCCTATTCCCTTACCCTCATATTCCGATGGACGATCAGGCGCAGAAGCTACGGCTTTACGTTTTTCCCGAGGCACGGGTGTGAAACACAGAAAAATTCCTGATTCCGAGTTATTACTGATAATTTCTTGATAGAAAAACCCTAAAACTAATTTTGGCCCGACCCGGAATCCGAACCCATGTCCTCATCAACAGCCGCGTTTACGGGCACTAGACCAAACAGGCTGTCTACTTCACATTAGGTATACTGGGTGGCGATTAGGTTATTACATTAAATAACACATCGGTATATACAAGTTCATATCGATATTATGTCGATTAAAATAATAAAATAAACCATTCTACCAAAAATAAAAAATAAATCATCTTTCAAACAAAATAAATAGCGTAAAAATTGACACGAAATAAATTACCTTGATAATATTACTTTACTGACCCGAAGTGACATGTAAAAGCGGCAACGGTGCGGCAGATACTCAGTGCTCACGCGGCATCGACATATATAATTATTTTTACACTTTCCCGTTCATAAGTAATTAGGAAAAAAACGAAAAAAAGGGCTTTAGCGACTAGAATGTTAATTGTTATATATTTTTTTAGTTTTTTTAGTCTTTTCATTTAATATGATAACTTTATCGCCACCCCGTATATTTAATGACGAGGATGTAATATTTTGTTAAGCCTATTTTAATGTATTTAATTCAATTACCGGATGTCATAATGATTTTTAAAATTTTAAATATTTATATGTTTCCGGAAACTATTTGAATACACCCGTATGCAAATAAATCCTAGTAAATCCTTACTTTGCAGTTATTGGGTATGCACGATTACTTATGTGAATAAATAGTAAGTTGCAATAAATGATATATAATAATTTAACTAAAGTTTAAAAAAAACACGTTAAAGATAAAATTATTTTATTTTATCCTGATGATTTTGATCAGGATACCTGTATAAAGTTACTAAATTATTGTATTGCCATCAACCGGCCGTTGAATATATATATATATATATATGTGTGTAACGGAATAATATATATACAGATCGATACCTGTGAAGCTAATAAAAGCGTATTAAGAAGAAATAAAATATTATATCACATTGGAATTTTACATGACAAGAGAGAAACTGGAAACTAAAGGTTAAAAGTTAAGTACACGTAAATTGTTTCCTCTTAAATAAACAGTAGTAGAACATAAAATAAATCAAAAATATAAAAGTGTTATAAAATACCTTCATAAAGCCTACGCCAATAAGTGCTGAGGCATTTAAGTTTTATTACAGCGGTAAGAGGTTGTTTAGCGAGTAGATAAGTTGCAACCTTTTGCTGTCTGTACTATAATGATAAGTGTTTCCTCGCGTGGGAATTAGTCGGTCTCGATATATAAATATATATTATATACATACATATATCAAATCCTTTCTTACCGGTTAAGATTTTAGGTCAAGCAAATGGAACTCTTTTACAAAATTATTAAATATACCCATTGGCAGTTCATTAGCTGATAAATTAACAGGACTAGGTTAGAACGAACTATGATCATGACATTATTAGGCATATCTCATTAATGAAATGTTTTTAAAAGGTCGGTTTACATATTTCGATAATGTATAATGTAATCTTTATGTCGATGTTAAACTTCGAAAAGTTCTTTTTACGAGTGTAAAAAAATTAATAAAATTAAAATTTTAATAAAAAGTAAAAGTCGACTTTTGGGAACAAAATAGAATAAAATAATTTCAAGCCAATAACTTCAAGTCACGGCCTTAATTTGTCTATAGTCAATGTTTTAGCACTGGTTTTATCTACCTTTTATTAAAAATTTTATTTTTTGACCCTTTTTAGTGGAGGAAGGAATGAGAGGCTAAGAGAGAGAGAGAGAGACTACCGATATGGCGCAGCACATGTACCGCACTTTTGACGGTGCTCTCAACCGATGGTCAGTGTATTTTAGATACCTCTTGAACGAGATAGTTAACGGTTATATCACAATCAATCAGGAGTCATGAAATCTTTCTGGCATTTGTCATAGTAATTTCTTATGACAGCCGAACAGAGCTGACGGAATTTCTTACACAGGCACCACACGGCATTTCAATCAACGATTAATTTCTATACTGTTACTAATATATTACACTATCCGGCGAGGCAATTGTTCTTTGTATGTTGTTCTGCCCTTCACCGTAATGGCGTGATGAGTATCAATCCGAATGCACCAATTATTTACAGTGTTTCTTTTATTTTTGTCTTTTTTATTTACAGTGTTTTTTTTATTGAATAAGGTGACTAACGAGCACACAGTCCACCTGATAGTAAGTGGATACTGTGGCCCATAGACATCTACATTTATCCTCGATTAAGAATCAAAATGCAGATATGTTGTCAACCCTGAGTACTAAGATGGAATGCTTCGTTTCCAGTAAAAAGGGTCTCCGGTTCTCTACACTCAGCATACGAAACACAGCCAGCCTTGGTATTCTGTGAGGGAATGGTCCTACCCCGTTCGAGCCGGCCTATTCGTGCTACAACTAATATAGCGTGGATTTACCACATATAAAATAATTATTAATTTTTTTAATAACTTACACTACAACGACACCACTACAGTTTTATTATTTTCTATTTTGACACTAAGCTATTGTGAACATGATTCCTTTTGGTGAATAAATTTAGAATTTGTTGACGACTTGACTACAGGCACAAAAAGTATTTTTTAGGCAGTAAGAATGAGGAGATAGTATTTTTCTCATATTTATCTCTACTAAATACTTTTATAACAAAGTTTTATAAAATGGTCCAGCCTACACGCTCTCCATTGCTTGGTACAGAAGCCTTTTTCTCATTTCTGAAAGGGGTTTTTGAAAAGAGCAACAACCCGCCACACAATGCGTCATATCTTAAAAATATAAGCTCTATTACATAAATATATATTTTTAGACTCGCAATATCCCAAATCTTTGAAGAAAATTATAAAAATATGTTTAGGTCTTTGTCATAATATTTTTTTTTGTATCATATATAATCGTAGGTATAATGTGGTAACAATTACTATTTATACAACAAACAGCTTGTCACAAAAAACTGCTACCAATCTCCTACCGGATAGTAACGACGGTCTGACCTTGTTGGGTCATTACTCAGTACCTTTTGCCTTTTTATGTTAAGAAAACTTAAAAGCAGAGATGAAAGTAAGTCGATTCATTCCTTTGCAGCAATTTCAATAATAGTCGTCTATTATTTCATTCAAAAATGAATAGAATAGCGATTAATTTATAGGCTTATACATAAATAAAAAAATACAAAAATATTTTGTCTACTTTTTCATTCGAATTACAAATATGTAAAGTATATATCTCTATCTTAACCTATTAAACAAAACGTATATAATCAATAATCAGACTATAAAAGTCCACTGCTGAACATAAGTCTTCTCCATAGATTGCCTCATAGGGGGAATTTTGTAAGAGTTGCCACGCTTTCCCAAGAGGGAGGTTCGCAACCGCAGATTTTATTATTTAGAATTGTTATCAGGAAGATGTTACAGCCCATTTTATGTTTCAGTTTCGCTCGGTCGACTCTAACGACACCCAAGGGACGATATGGGGTAGCGATTATTATTGCACCGCTACACGATTGAAGATATTCATATTAAATAGTTTTTGTTCATGTATTAGGAAATAAGAAAATTAAAAAGTTAGCACCGTAGAACTGAGCCTTAATGATTGCATACTATAAGAGTAACAGAATGCGATGAACTATATGATTTCAAAACAAGGTTTACCCGTGAAACGGAGATCAGTGTCGTTTCTTCTACACTACAGTTATAAAAAAGACGTGCAATTTATTAGCCTGTATACGACCAATCGTTGGACATTGCCCTTGTCTGATTTCCGGGAGGGCTATGGAGCGATTAGTCCGCCGAACTGCTCCAGTGCGTGTTGTCGACTTGACATGTCATCGAATAAATTTATTTTTTAGACACGCAAGATTCTGCACGATGTTTTCTTTAACCGCTGAGCACGTGGTTAATAAGCAATTAAAATTGCAATTGACGGCAGGTAATTGCAATTTTAAGGTATCCAATCCGGGTTGCTCGTATACTGTAATATTTAAAATGAGCGCTTGGCTTGAAATAATTTAAGAGCTTGAAATTTTTCAATCAAAACAATTTCGTTTGAAAAAAGAATTAAATCTACTGAATCAGTAATGTCTTCTAAACCAAATTTCGGTCACGGTGTCTAGTCTCAAGGAAACTCAGCATCTGCGCAGGATAGGAAAATAGTGCAAGCTCAGGCTCAGGTCACTCTCTGTTTTCTCACTAACATAGATGAGACGACAATTCGAAACGCCTGAAGAAAGATCAGACGCAGGAAGACCGGGTTTGCGTGCTTTTCGAGATATGGGGGTAAAACACCGCCAATTACGCGATTAATAACTTTTTGTCAGGAATGCCCCAATATATAAACAATACCTAACAAAAACTAATGAATTAATAAATGTACAATGTGATAGAAGCTACGGTTTGTATTTTCTATGAAGAAATTTTAAGAGTTATTTTGCGCTCAATCAATGTAAATGATCCCTAACCACTCGAATAAGTTTTAGGATTTACAAAGTTATAAGTAGAATGACTATACACACCATTTAAATAAAGAAATCAATAGATAAAACGGCATAGTCTATATTGGTGTATTGACAAACAAAAAACGTTAAAATAAGTACTTATTACTTAAGGTATAAAATTGAAATAAAAAAGATATTTTTCTTACCAGTTTGTACATTTTTGAGGGTGGGTGAGGGTTGGTTATTACGTAAGCAAAGAAGGGAGATATGGTGACGAATGTGCCGAGGGATTGCAAAGTTGAGCTTTTATAGCCATTGGCCACACGGCCCGACCAAATCTGTCCTAACCCTACTCCTAGTCTGGGCCTAGGTCATCTATTACAGTGATTACGTAAGTAACGGCACCAAAACAAATATATTAATTTAAAGGGCTTTACGTAAATATTTTTTATATAATTTTTATTTCAAAGTGTTTTTTTGGTAAGATTTATGTAGTAATATTATATAATGATAATGTTAATATTGCTTACAGCTATAAAAATATTTGACGATTTCTCTTAGACGCCAAATATTATAACGACAGAAGTAAACTTGTCTGTGCAAATATTTAACGTACTTTGTTATATCGTTTTAATAGTGTTCTTTATTATTTTTCGATTAGTAGGAAAGTAATTAACCTTTATTTATTGGTTTAGTATTACTTGACATGAAATTTAAAGATTTTTTACGTGGTAGTGCCACACTGTAATTTTATTATGGTTACACTACGCATAGTTTGACTAGACCTGGGTAGGACCAGGGTACCACGCCCTCTTAGAATACCATCACGAAATAGCAAAACCGGAAATATCTTAGTCCTCAGGGGTGGCAACGCATCTGCGTTTCGACTCTATAGGCCACAGCATCCATTTACCATGAGATGGACCGTGTGTTCGTGTGTCACCCTTATTCTATAAAAAAATCAAAGTCTAGGGATTTTAAAGTAATCGTACCGCTGTTTTCGTGTGGTGGTGGTGTAAGAATATCTGATATCCCATATTGTCCAGTGCGACAGACGGAAACAAACCAGGAGATAGGCAGCAGTGTTTTCCTATAACTACTAGAAAAAAAACCCACCTGCCAAGCATGGCAGCTATGGCAAATAATATACCTCTAGTAGGCGATACTCGTATACGGGGTAGGCCTATGTTCAGACGTGGAATATTATTAGGCTGTAATGATGACGATAAGTATGAAAACTTGGTCTAATATTACTTGAAAAGTAGTTGAACAGCTTTCAAAACCTTGCATTCTGTGAGTACTGTAGGTTGCAACATGAATGTTTGGTGTTTATCGTATAAATGACATCTATTGTAATTCTTTGTACAATTGCGTCATTCTCATATTTATTATTCGTGAGTAGAACAGCTGTACTGATTTGTAGTTAACATTCCTTAAAAATGTTAATTACATGGACACAATTTATTAAGTTAATAATTTATTGTGTTTTTAGCCGATTTCAATAAAGGAGACGCCTCACATTTCGACAGTATGTTGTTTTTTTGTATATATGTTAAGCGTTATTTTCGCCAATTGAACATTACATTACAAACATTAAAATTAAATTTTAACAAAAAATTAAAGCCGATTTCAAAGAAGTATAAAGAATAAAATAATTTCACATTCTGAAGTCGGGGCTACAATTCTTCTCTACATTGTATCTTAGCACCGAATTCAGAATGTGGAATTATTTTATCCTTTATATTTCTTTGAAGTCGGCTTTTACTTTTTGTTAAAAGTTAATTTTTAATATTAAAAAATTAAGAATAGAGATTTTAGAAGTAACTAGAATATCATGTGGGATAAACTAGCTATCACTGTTATTTTATTAATTTATCATTTGAGTTTATGCCAAGTAACACAAACCAACACAACTTAATATTTAGTTAGCAGCAGTTACACTTTGCGCAGAGCCGCACAGTTCGAAATTGGTGTTGTGAAAATAGAGCGTGAATACTATATAATGAAACTTATTAAATATCTTTTTATCTAGTAGAAGATTTTTTTTTTTGTTAACACGCTAGAAGTACAATTTAGATATTTGACGATGCATGACTTTAATCAAGAATATCACGGTGGTACACGGAATACCAAGTGATTCTCACTGCTTGGTGGTCTAGAGCCGGTGTTATTGATAACAGCTTCTTACCAGACGGAATAAGCATTAGGTACTGCAGATTTGTACTATGAAGAACTGAAAATAATGATGGAGAAGCTCGCACTCAAACTTCAACATACAATTAATTGTAAAATTAAACTGGAGTCTTACAAAAAGATCTCCAAATGCATGCGGCGGGAATTAGGCAACTTCAATACAGCACCTATTGAAGAAGCGATCGATCGGAACCAGGGCTCCAAATTCTTTGCTAGAGATCTGTCTGCCAGACAGAGACAACTGTCAAAGCTGAAGACCGAGTGTGGCAGCGTCGTTACCGGGACACCTGAGATTTTGAGTGAGATTGAGAGATTCTATGGGCAGCTGTACATATCATCGTTTATTCTGAGCCGCTTTCCGTCGAAATTCGGGCGGTGTTGCAGTCCCTTCACCGGTGCTAAGTTGACTGTCGTTATATCAAAGTGCTGAAGTGTTTGTACAGTAGAACTACGATGGTTATCCGAGTACAGAACCAGAGTACAAAACCTATGTAACTGCAGAGAGGTGTAACATAACAGGGTGACGTTATTTCCCCGAAACTCTTCACCGCTGCATCATAAGACGTTTCCAAGCTACTGGACTGGAAAGGATACGGTATTAACGTCAATGGTGAGTACAGCACTCACCTTCGATTTTTTTCGACCCTAGTCCTTATGGCAGAATCGGTGGAGGCCTAAGCACTATACTCAATGACCTCAATAGTGTTTCCCAGCGGATAGGTCTTAAGATGAACATGGACAAAGCAAAAGTCATGTGTAACGTCAATGTCACACCTATGCCAGTAGTTGTTGGGGACACTTGTTGACGAGTATGTTTAGTCCGACTAGGTAAGTCCAACTTCGACCGAGAGATCAATCGACGGATTCAACTCGGCTGGGCAGCTTCCGGGTTATTATGGCATATCTTCTCGTCAGGTATACCTCAAAACTTAAAAACTAGACTGTACAACCAGTGCGTGTTGCCAGTGATGACCTATGGAACTAAAACATGGTTCTTCACTGCTGGCCGTATCAGGAAGCTCAAGGTCACTCAGCGATATATGGAGAGGGCTATGCTCGGGGATTCTCTGTGTGATAAACTTAGAAATGAGGATATCCGTAGTACAACCAGAGTTACCGACATTGCCCAAAGGATTAGTAAGCTGAAGTGGCAATGGGCTGGCCATATGGCTCGAAGAACTGATACCCGATGGGGAAAAATGTTCTCGAGTGGCGGCCTCGTACCGGCGGACTAAGTGTAGGGCGTCCCCCCACTAGATAGTTGACGACCTACGACGACGATGGTAAGACATACAGGAAGTCGATGGATGCAGGTGCTTTGTTTTTTACCGTGCTTTGTGGCATTCCTTGGGGAGGCCTATGTTCAGCAGTGGACTTGTGAATAATGTGAAAAGCAGAGGTGGTAAAAGATAATTTAAGAAATATGAATTAAATAGCACGTTGGTACATCATAATTGCAATCTTTGGGTTGATTTTCTTACATCACCTTCCATCTGCTGGAAACGGACACACAATAAAAATTATAGAAAACAAAGAAAACTTACAATAGGAGAAGAATCATAAAAATATGTGCAATCTTAAAAACTAGATTAGAATGAGCTTTTAGGTAGAATTAATTTTTGTCAAGGAATCCTTCCGTGTTTGCCTCTCTTTTGCCTATTTGTGTCCTCAAGCAAAACTGCACATACTCCTGTATTCTAGGTTGAAGGACAAGAGTGCAAGTGTGAATAATTACAGGATGTGAGGCATATTATCTTTTATGTCTGAAGTTGATTGCAAGAGCCCATGGGCTGCAGTATTATCTTATTTTTCACTGTAATATTTCAAAAGAAATTATCATAGATATGGTTTCTCTAAAAATATTTATTAGATCCTAAATTTTGACTACATTTTTAAACAATGTGGGTGCATATAAAAGCAAGCCCCGTTTATTTTCATAATATCTAAATTTGAAAATTTTGGTTTTAAATTAATAATTTTATGATTTTGATTTGCTATCTGTACTTTGGATAGTTCGCTTTTAAGTTGATCTCATTTTTAATTCGGTCCATACATTAGTTTTATCTTTCAAATTCTTGATACTTTTGTTGTTTAAATTCTTAAATTTTTTAATGCTGATAAGAAGAATATTATTAACCGTGATGTGAAGCAGAAAGCCTACCACGTCACAAGTCTTGGGTTCAAATCTTAGCCGAGACATATATTTGTGCAAATGCAAAATGACTTACTTTTTACTGGTTTTATTTAACTGTTTCTAGCTATTATTTACCTGGAATTCAAATTTTGATCGAAAGATTATGTTGGTTCGTGTTTTTATGTTTATCATAACGGCACTATCATATGTTATATTTCCTACAATTGACAATTTCTCTTTGTAGGATAGGAATAAATTAAGAATTTTCTGTTGAATTATGTCGACTCTTTGATCATTGCCCCAAGCATCATAAAATCGATTGTTCGATTGTTGATGTGACACAGAAGATAACTCGAAATGGGAGTCACAGTTTGTACGAAATTGGTTAAAAATTTTGCATCTCAATTGCTGATGTGTTCATAACCTCTTAAGATGGAGGTAGATAAACGACAAATTCCACGTTTATTAGACATAATATTTTTAAGTATAAACGTGATACGCCTCAATGAATTAGTAATTTCTAGTTTGTTAAGTGAAGTCGAAAATTTTTTAGAACTTAAATTTGTTTTTAAGCATATTAGGTAAATATATTTTCTCGAAACACAAGGCCACCCTGAAATTACGTATTTCTTAATAATAATTCAGTGTTTATATTAAAAACAAAATTGAAAAGATGTGTCCATAAAAATACATAATATTATATCTCAATAAAGTATGTTAAAAAATTTAAACGTGTTTTATAATATAAAATTAAAAAAATATCAAATCACATTAAGCCTTCTCTAAGCTGTGTACAGCTGCGCTAAAATTTATTAATCGCAACGTAAAAATTGTATGCGTGTCTTATTCGATACACGTAACGAGTTCTATATGCCAAAGAGTAATTTCTTG